GCCTGGGTTACTTCTTAGTAGCTCAAGTTGGTAGTTAAATATCCTTGAATACTCACACCTTGTTGCATCATAAAGTTTCTTCAGAACATGTGCCTTTGCTCTCTTACACTGAGGAACGCTGACATTTGCAAACATTTCTTCAGAAACAGTAGAAATCATATTCTTGATACTCCATGTTGGGTTATCTCTAATCATCTGCTCATACTTCTCTGCAATTCTTGTTGATGTTACCATTGGATTATCTTTCCTCTGAGGGCATGTGTGTCCATCAGTAAAGATTGTGATTTGCCAACTATTGATCCTACTTGTCTTTTTAAGAAGACAGACCCAGGACACAATTTCCACTCACATTTTGCTCTGACTCTATCACCCTCATCCTTTACAAACTTCACATACCTTCTGTTGGCTAGTGCATGTTTTATAACTGCATCCTTGAACTCTTTCTTACAATCAAATAGCTGGCCTAGAGTAAAAGTCGGAGTGCTGCTACTACTACCTCTGAACCTTGGATACTTACTCCTTTTAGTGATCAACTGACCATCACTGTCCTCTTCAAATGAATCATTTGCACTACTGTCATCATAAGGTGTTGCATTTCCATCATCCTCAATCTGTACTAGTGCTTTCTCACTCCTCTGACTAGCTCTTTCTCCACAAAACACATCATCGAGATCAGCAACTTGACCATCCTTCAGCTTCTTCTGAAACTCCTTAAATGATTTCATGATCTCATTTGCTTCCTCATCCTCCTCTGAAGAGCAGCTGTCCCTACCTAAATAATCACTATCAGAATCAGAATCACTTTCAGCACTATAAGGAACCAACTGATCACTATGTGCTACCATTTGTGCCTCTTCCTTGTCCTTCTTAGCAAGATTATGGCACTGTCTCAGTGACTCAATTTGTCCCTGAGTCTTATCTGGTATTGATGTTACTATCATAACAGGCTTCTTCCCTTTAGTATCCACTTCAAAAATTTCAGCAGCCTCCTCATCTGAAGAAATTTCTTCAATTTCATCTTCAAAATCACTGTCATTATCACTTCCTACATCTTCTACATCTGAACTGTCTTCTTGTGCAACTTGTGTCTCAACATATATATCTGCAACCTCTGCTTCACTAGTACAGTCTGACATCAGTTGGCAAACATTATCGTCCAACAAAACACAAAGACCATCCTTCAGTTCTTTCATTGGGAACAACCAATGCAAAAGCATTGGTTCCTCAACTGCACAATGGTCCTTTAGATGGCCCTTAACCTCTGGCAACGAAACTTTGTCACGGTCAATGTGTGATATTGCTTCAGATCCACCACAGTAATGCTTTTGCCTACCATCGTATATGAACTCTCCATTATAGTGGAACCATACAACCAAAAAGTTCTGAACATCCATCGCAAAGACTCTACAACCAGAAAAAGCAAACCACTAATCATCCATCCACAATTAAATACTCAGAAATTGATAAAGTAAGCTCAACATCCCACTGGGCAGCCATAAACAAATCAACAAATGAGAGAATCATATGAGCATCCCAATCTCACTGTCCTAAATTGACAAATAAATAAGCAGCTCACAACTGAAGGCCGTGCCACGCCGCCGCACGAGCGTTGTTTGCTGCACAGCTGCGCGAGCGTCGTGCCTGCGCAGCGCCGCGCTGCCATGAGAGCGTCGTGCCGCGCCGCAGAGCCTCGCCTGCGCCGCCGTTCACCACGCCGCCGCGCCGCCAAGCTCCGCCTCCACCGCTAGGGTTAGGGGTTTGGGTTGGGGAATTTTTCACGGGATAAAGGGAGAGAGAGAGTGTGGGGGGGGGAGGGGAGGGGTATTTTTATGTTAATGCCACATCATTTGCCACGTGGATGTGCCACGTCGGATCAAATGGGTAAAACCAGCCGAAATTGGTCGCGGGGGGGTTAAGTGTCCGGATTAAATAGTTTAAGGGGGTATTATGTCTGGTATTATAGTTTAGGGGGGTACAGCGTACTTTAGCAAGAGTTTAGGGGGGTAAATCGGACTTAACCCTAACAAAAATTATGGACCCTAATGAGAAGTTTGGTTGTGTTCTTCCTCCTAATTTTACTCGTATCTCTATCTTTTGTTATTATGGCATTGTTTAGTTCCCAAAAACATCACATCGATTCTTTGGACACATGTATGAAGCATTAAATATAGATAAAAAGAAAAACTAATTGCACAATTTGCATGTAAATCGCGAGACGAATCTTTTGAGCCTAATTAGTCCATGATTAGCCATAAGTGCTACAGTAACCCACATGTGCTAATGATGGCTCAAAAGATTCGTCTCGCGGTTTCCAGGCGAGTTATGAAATAGTTTTTTCATCCGTGTCAAAAAGACCTTCCGACATCCGGTCAAACGTCCGATGGGACAACCAAAAATTTTTATTTCACCAACTAAACAGGTCCTATGTTAGAAATTTGGGTTTATTGGATATGGGTTATAAGGCCCTGCTTATACTTGGACAACAAAAGAGGAGATAAGGATGTGATCTATGAAATACTTGATAGATGCTTGGCTAATGTTGAATGGTGTGCTAAATTCCCTAACACTACTGCTTATCACCTTCCCTTACTTTTATGGGGACCATGCTCCTATTTTTATTCTGCTTAATCCCAATTGCAGGAAAATTGGTGGTTAATGGAGGAAGAGTTTGAAGAATATGCAATCAATTCTTGGAATAAGTTTAGGAATTGTTCTTTTGTCACCAAAACCAAAATTTTGAGTTACAGTCTAACCAAATGGAATAAGAAAAAAAAAAAAGCCTCTCCAGCATCAAATTGCTAGTACAGAAGAAGAAATCCTTCAAATTCAGGCTAGCAGTGAGAGGCATCAAATGGTGGATAAGGAAAGAGAGCTTTTTATTTTTTCGGGAATACTAAGGAAAATGAGGTAATAGACAAGTATGATTGATTTTTTTTTTTACCATGATTGAGGAAATTCTATTTTTTTCCTTCTTCTGTTTATAGCAGCTTGCTGAAAAAAGGTTGTGTTTCTGTCTCCTTCTAACACCCAATGTTTTTTCTCTTTGCCTGTTTTTATGCAAAAGCTTGCTGATTTCCATAGGCTAAGAGCAAAAAAAACATTTGGTGTCATGCAAAAGCTTTCTGATTTCCAGGGCAAAGAGAAAAAAAACATTGTGTGTTGGAAGGAGACAGACGACGACAAACGGGCAATTCCAGGTGAGGCAATGTAAGCAGACTGCTGCCCAGCGACTCAATATCGAGAACCTCGGGGTAGTACTTGATGCCACAACGAATCCATGTCTCCACATGTTGATCATTTCGATAACTTCGATCATCCGCCCATTCATATGTACAACGTAGCCGGAACTCATTCAAGGAGACGGCATTGCTATGGAACAAGAGAAAGTTGGTGGTGAAATTCTCAAATCTGCTCCATTCTTCCTCGGCGGCCTCAAAGTCGTCCACCGTGAAATACCCAAACTCCTTCTCGGCTGTGTTTAGTTCAGCGCAAAGTTTGTATTTTGGTTGAAATTGGAGATGATGCGACTGAAAAGTTGTGTGTGTGACAGGTTGATGTGATGGAAAAGGACTGAAGTTTGGATCCAAACTTTGAATCTAAACACAACCCTCGTCGATATCGAATTATCGATAAAGGGCGTGGAGCACCAGAGGTCTTTGATTTCGGGGGGGCATCTCCTTCATCTTCCTCCACACGCGCGCGGCGTGTGTGGAGGAAGATGGAGGAGATCCGGATGGGCTGATGCAGAGGAAGTAACCCGGCAAAATCAGTGGTTGCCACTTGCAAGTGAACCAAAAAAAAAGGAAAAAAGAACACTGATCTTAAACAAAAATTAATCAAGAACAAACTTCGTGTCAAAAAGAAAAAAAAATCAAGAACAAACTACACAAGCAGCACACCGCATGTCGTCCATGACAGAAATATGTCAATGGCCAAGCCACATTCCAAGCAAGAACGAACTGATCATCAGAAAAGCAACAACTTGCATAGAGACATAATGATCCAAAACTATAGTTGATGTTCCCTACTATATGAGTACTAAACTAATATGTAGCGCCGTATATTAGTCGGGCCCGCGAGAAGTCGACGGCTCGCACTCCTCGACTGCCACCAAATTGTTGGCGAAATGTGCTACAGTACTGGTACTGGTGTTTAACTTCAATCCATGCTTTCTGTTTTGATTTCTTCTTCCCTAAAATAATACTCTCTCCGTTCCATAATGTTGCAACCTAGGATGGGATGAGACCCATCCTACGACTACGAATCTGGACATACATGTCCATATACCCATCCTAGGTTGCAACATTATGGGACGGAGGGAGTAGAACTGTGGGAGAGATCGAGAGTGAGACCACTGAATTTTGAGCATGATATCGCCTGACACCGTGTTTAGATCCCAATTTTTTCTTTAAACTTCCAACTTTTTCCATCACATCAAACTTTTCTACTCACATGAACTTCAACTTTTCCGTCACATCATTCCAATTTCAACCAAACTTCTAATTTTGACGTGAACTAAACACAGCCTGAGTTGATCCATCCAAGATTCTAACTTCATTCTCTCTGCAATCTGTAGATGAAAAAGGGATCAAAACTGATGTGGTAGCCTACTGATGTCAGATACCTTAGCGCCTGTTGTCTTAAACAAGAGTTCCTGGCCGTACACATTCTTGAAGTTTGCTTCGTACTCCATAAAAGTAAAATGTTTTCCTTTTATTAAAAAAAAAACGAAACTCTAATAGTGACATGCTACCTAAGTAAGTTTTTTTTTTAAGAAAAGGGTTGCATGGATCCGGCTTATGTAGAAGGCCACAAAACGACATGTTGCCAGGTTCACGCTGGTGATATACCAGCTTCACAATCACCAGTTGAGAAAGCGGAGAAACTTGGTCACACCCAGACCAGAACTGAAAACTCTAAACAAAAGCTTCAGAACTACTCCCTCCGTCCCAGAAAGAAGGGATTCCTGGAAGCCCAAGGTAGTTTTAGGACAAAGAGCAAAAGGCTAAACTACCCTCAGTACTAGTACACCTAATCATTAGGTACAAATAAAGTATTACTACTGCCACACATTAATAAAACAGGAGTAGTACTCCATACTCAAACACACAGGCAGACACAAGGCGCCAAGGTGCCAAATAATTTGAATGAAGAGTTAAGCGCCACTTCATTGGCGGGATGTAATACAAATTTAGCACACCCCACCACAACAAACCCTACAAGTTTCAAATCAGAAGTTTCCCTCCCACTTTATCACTTCATAACTCTGCAAAAACACAAGTTTCCCTCCCACTTTATCCCTTCATATCTCTGCAAAAACACATCCATGGCTTTAGATCTAAATATAGCATTAGATGATGGAGATGAACATGCTATACCAAACCTCAATGAAGCAGTGGCTGAAGAAGCAGCAGTGGCTGATCAGGAGGATGACCAGGTTGGAGGTGATCTCCAGGGAGGTGCCAACCATGAGCTTCCTGGAGGTGATTTCCAGGGAGGTGTCAACCATGTGCTTCCTTTTGATCTCAACTTGTATGCATCTGACCACCAAGGAGAAATACATCTAGGTAACCTTGTAAACATGAATAGAAAACAATTGATCTTCGTAGATATGGCTTGCATAAATCACTCTAAAATCTTTGCCATTTCTCTGTAAAAATGATCTATAACATGTGCATTGATGCAATTGCTATCTTCTTGGAACAAAATTGGTCTTTGATAAGTTTGAGAAAACAATTAGGATTTGATTTTTTTCTTTGATATTTACCAACTCAATTCTGTCAAGAGTTGAGCATAATGAAATTCATCCCCTTCCATAATATCAGAGGTTATACTAGATTCTAGATATGCTAGATTCTGCATGGATAGTTTCCTTTATAGTACTGGTATTGACCTAAATTGTCTGTAGCTCAAGCAACATCATCTTAATATAAAGTAGGAATAAACATGAGAATTCAGAAAGCATGAGCACTGTTTTCATCTATGTGTAAAATCATGAACTAGAATAATAAGCAAACAATTTATATATATATATATATTCCTTTCTAATGTTTTCAGCTAGTACTATGTTAGGTTGTACCTCCAATGTTGTACACAGAGCTCTAAACTTCAGCATGAAAGTTTGTACAGAAACAAACAACTCATTCATGTATGACCCAAATATCAGTATACCAGCAAAATAAGATAAAATCACAATCGGAAGATTTGATAAGAAATGTGTAACACATTTGGGGAAAAATAATCATGAGCACTTCCATCAGTATAACTACTACTGAGATGGATATGTCTTTGACCAATTAAACCTTTGTCATATAAAAGGACACATAATTCAACAGGACATCAAATATGGAACCATGGATCAATATAGAATAATCTGCATGGCAAAAAGTATTGTTTTTGTACATGGTACTCACATGGTATTTGTTATTGTAGACGATGTTGATGTCATGGATCAAGTTCTGCAAGTAAATGGAGGTCACAACCATAATGCCTTTCCTTTTGATCTCAACTTTGATGACGATGAGGAAGACCTACAATACCATCCAGGTAAGCCCTTTAACCGACATGACTATCAGACTTAAAAAAAAGATAAAATGTGGTTTTACCCAAAGGATCATTGTAGAATAATATTATTTATCTGAAACCATGTTTTTAATTAGAAGTTAGTAATATTATATCATGCCAACTACCTACAATAGTCCAACCGTGTCATTTGGTTGTATTAGTTGCAATAACAATTCAGGATTGTAAATTAGACATTTCAGCACATAGTAAATCACAAAGAATAATGAGATTTACCAATAAATACATTGATATCTTGTATTTACATACAATTGTCATGTCAATCGGTTCACTACCACAGCAATCTGAAAGAAAGCACATAAACTAAATTGTGCCAATGTCTCTGTCCCTCTTAGATGTGATATGTATGGTTAAATCATATTACAAATAAAACCATGTGGTGAACCTAAAAAGTTATGCCATAATTTTGAAATCATGTTGATCAATGACAATAAAATATTAAAATTCTGAATTGGTACATATGACTAACCTTATAATTGCTGTTGTAGACATGCAAGAGTACGGCGTGTATGCGGGTGATGTGGATGTTGTTTTCGAACAAGAGGAGTTGGATGATTCAGATGAGGAAGATGAACATCAAAACAAAAATCTAACCAAAATACAAAGGCAACAGATATATGCAGCATTGGCTGGAAAAACTAACAATGGAATCCTGAGAAAAAATGCTACAACTGAAGTTGCAGCAATGTTTAATGTGAAAAGGGCTAGAGTGCAAGCTATTTGGCGAAGAGTGAAGCAATGCCGTGCCCAGGGAATACCAATTGATGTAAGGTCTAGGAAAAAAAAGAATTGTGGTCGCAAAAAGAAAGAAATCAACCTAACAGATGTTGCTAATGTTCCCTTGCAACAAAGAGGCACTTTACGGTCATTTGCATCAGCCTCAGGTATACCAAAGAGCACACTACATAAGATGTTGAAAGAAGGGCTACTAAGACGTCACTCAAATACACTAAAGCCATTGTTGAAGGAAGAGAATAAACAATCAAGGCTGCGGTGGTGTCTTTCCATGTTAGATTGGCATACTTTGCCAAATCAACCCAAGTTCATTGATATGCGAAACATTGTGCACATAGATGAAAAATGGTTCAATACAACTAAAAGGACAAGAACCATTTATATGGTCCATTGGGAGGATGATCCATACAGACCTGTCCAAAACAAAAATTCTATCGATAAAGTGATGTTCTTAGCAGCAATTACTAGGCCTAGATACAATGAAGAAGGTATCTGCACTTTTGACGGCAAGATAGGATTGGGCCTTTCACCAGAAAGGTACCATAACCTCTTCATATATGCATTTTTACTTAGTGATTTGATCTGAAAATTAATTGTTAATCTAACTTGATTATTATACTACTTAGGAACCAGCGCAAAGGACAAGTCATAATAGACCAAGGGGGACTCTAGTCACCAAGACAATCAAGGTTGATAGAAATACCGTAAGGTCATTTCTGATTGCTAAAGTCCTACGAGCTATTATAGCAAGTTGGCCTCCAGAAGAAGCACACAACACTATATGGATTCAGCAGGATAATGCTCCCTCTCATGTCCCAGTGGATGATCCTCAATTTGCCTATGCAGTTTCCCAAACAGGGTTTGACATCCGACTCATGCATCAGCCTCCTAATTCCCCAGATATGAATGCACTAGATCTTGGGTTTTTTGCGTCTCTACAATCATTAACATATAGAAGGATATCTAGGAATATGGATGACCTAATAGATAATGTTGAGCAGGAATTTCAAGCCTATGATGACAACAAGCTAAATAGGGTGTTCCTAACATTGCAATCTTGCTTGTTAGAGGTTATGAAAGCTGATGGAGGAAATGGATACAAGATCCCTCATATGGGTAAAGAGAGGCTAGAGCGTCTAGACATTCTCCCCAATACCCTTAGTTGTGATTTTGAGCTATATGATAAGGTAACAACAGCATTAGCCAACCAAGTGCAGTAAATCATGCAATATGGGAAAGCAATATCATGGTTTCAGCTTTTGGTTAAATGTCAGGATGTACATGTGATAAGTTAAGATCAGTGTTGCGCAAGTAAATGCAACAAACCATGTAATGTGGGAAGTTTTATGATGGTTTCAGCTTTTGAAATATGTAATGTGGGAAATTTATCATGGTTTCATATTTTGGCCAGATTTCAGGTTGTATATATGACGATCTAATATCAGTATTAGGAGTAAATCATGTCATGTGGAAAGTTTATCATGCTTGAGTTTCTAGCTAAACTTCAGATTATATATATATCTATATGTAAGATAAGCATTGCATCCATCATCGTCATATTGTTCGTAATGTTAGGAACAATATTAATTTCATTGAGCACAATAAACCATCATATTTTACAATAATTCTGTAGGATACCATTCATAAGCACTCATGTAATACCATAATTACACATGCTTCCATATACAAAACCAAAAGTTTACCTACTTTCACATACTTGGTCAGGCTACTAATTATAACCACATGATCTCATGTACTACCATAATTACACATGCTTCCATATACAATACCAAAAGTCTAAGTGCTATGTTAGGCCATCATTCATAACCACCAAACCGGCACAAAAGCAACACATAATTTAAGCATTCATCTAAACTTTTTACTCTTAAAACATTCCAGAAAATTCTTTACCGATTTTTCCAAGGCATCTTCATCTTGCATGAGTTCTTCTAGGCCACTATCATCGTATGGATCTTGCGCATATCCCCCAATGACCATGCCAACATCATCGTCGCTATCCTTCATCTCCTCACTGTTCCCATCCTCGCTGCTCCCCTCCTCGTTGATCACATCCTTAGCTTTTCCACTCATATCCTCGATGTTGATTTGCCCGACGAGTGACTTCTCGAACAGGGCCTTGTGGTCGCTATCATCTTCCAATATTGTCCTGCAAAGGATAAAACACAATACCAATACAAGATGGGATCAGTTGTTAGAGACTTGGACTTCCAACATATATTAAAGTATTTGGAATTGTGGTGTAAAGGTGAATCTATCACCGAATGAAACTAAAATGTATTTTGATTCCATTATATAATGGTGCAACATGTGAACAATCAATGTCTAAAATGAAGTAAAGACCAAAGGGACTGATCATGGCAATGATAGCTAAAAATTAGAGTACATCAGTGTATATATGTGTACCCTACATCCAGTGAATTAGTTTTATAACCTTCGAAAAAGAGTTGCGCTCAATAAATGTTAAGCATCCAGGCTATTTCTCGTAGAACAACAGCAAGATCATCTAGTTAATTTAATTGGCTATGAATGGCAATATATGAAAAAGCTACTCCTAACTATTCGTGGGTGCAGTTGGATCTGTTGGAGCAAGCTGAAGCTGTTCAGGGCAAGGTTCCAGAACTCCTTATTCATTATTCTACTCTTAGTGTTACTAGTAGTTTTAAAATAAACAGGTCAAGTAACAGCAGCTAGCTAGCTAGCTGCAGCCAGCAGGGGTCCCAAATTAATCATGCCATGCCATGCAGGAGGGAACAAAACAAGTGTGACAAGCAGCATTCACGGACAATAGTCTACACATTATCTGACCTCCTGTAAAGTAGTTTTAGCTCAACTGAAAAAGAGGGGAACAGGGTGTAGTGACCTAAAAAATGAGGGGTGGAGTGAACCCAAAGACTAATATTTGCTTGTAGCATTTAGGAGTTGGATCCTTTCAACTAATATTGTGGACATAGAGAGTATTATGGATTATCGAGGGTAAGCTTTGTAAGTTTACAATTTTCCCATGACTTCTTTGCCTACAATCAGTCCTTTTTTTAAGGCAAAAAAACCTTATCAATCTTCTAATACTTTTTCAGAGGCCCTTGTAATATTTAACTCCACCTACTTTCTACTTTCTACTTTCTTAATACTTTCTAATATTTAATTATCTCAAGAAATTGGTAGAAACTCAACATATATAATTAATCGTCCACCGGAAACATAGATTGGTTTCAACATATATAATTAATCCCATATTAACATTGCAGGAGATTATATATACTCATAATGATATGCAAGAGAATACAAAATTTGATGGAACATGAAAGTTGAAATAACTGCTAAAAATATCTTCTAAATTTTTCATGTTTCAAGCACGCACTGAACAATATTGTAACGAGCTATAAAGAAAGCGTGCCAACCGGCACACGAACAGAAGAACTCGGTCTTGTTTGGTGCCGCTGAATTGATAACTTTTCCAGACCCTATTCCATTGCTTAAAACAAGCTATTGCAAGGAAATAAATCCTAATTACAAGAAAATAAATCCTAAAATGAACAACTAACCATATAGAGCTACTACTAATGAACACACAAGGGTTATTATTAACAGTATGCAACCACACCCTGTGCATCTGTGCTACATCCGCCATTCAAAGCAGTTTTCATTGCATGACAAGAATGTATTGGTGGCAGGGAGATGGAGCGGGAGATACCTTTGGTGGTACGATGGATTGTTCACCTCACCATGAGATATGCTTGATATACTTTCCACAACTGGAATTAAACCACGCATATCACTGCCAATGTCCCCAGTTGTTGGCGCCGGAATCAGAAAAGGAGGTCAAAAAGCCACCTCCTCCGCTGCTGTCCCCTCCTGCATCAGATCCGCGGGCTCCGCCACCTCCTCCGCCGTTGTCCCCTCCTGCATCAGATCCGCAGGCGCCGCCACCTCCTTGTGCATCACATCCGCCGCCTTGCAAACCTCCAATGCCTTTGCCGCATCTGAACCGCCTCCACCCCTCGCCGTCGCCACCACCTTGCGAAGCTTCGATATTGCTACCGCATTCGATCCGCCTCCTGCCGTAGCCTCTTGAATCAGAACCGCAAGCCGGCACGCCTCCTCCGCCTTGGCTCGCGTATCTTTAATCAAAACTATAAACCGTTCCGCCGCTTCCATGAACGCTGCTACCGAGCCGAATCCTTCCACCGGAGTCGCCTCCTTCATCGGATCTAAACCCTCGCAACTGTCTGCCACCACATCCGAGCGCCCGCATCCTGGTAAATGCAGAACGTCGAAGGGAAAAGCGGGAGCGAGGGGAAGCGGCGTGGAGTGGGGAGGGCCGTGCGGGGAGGATCGGGAGGGAGATGCGGAGGGGGTAGGAAGCTTGCTAAGGTCTCGCATCTGGACGTCGCGGCTTTGATTTGGCCGTGCGGGAGGATCGGGAGGGAGATGTGGAGGGGAATACGCGAGGAACGAGAGAGAGGAATAGTACGCGAGAGAGAAGCGGCGATTCCGGGAAAGGGAAGGGATAAGGTTTCTGTGGTGTGAGAGGAGAGAGAGATCGGGGCCCACTATTGCCCACATATGATGCGACACAGATAAAATATCTGGTGTTTTGTGCACGAATCGCTTTTTTTTTGGGACAAAGTCTCCCCCCCCCCCCAGAAATCGCTTCTTTCTGGGACGGAGGGAGTACCACCACAAAGAAGAGGATTATTTGGAAAGACAACGTTAGTGGCGAGAATAAAATTGTCTCTGGAAACCATATTATTTCTTGTCAGTTACAAGGTCCGGCAAATTGCAGCTAGTGAAACAAATTTAACAGCTCTATATTTGAAATCAACTCTCATATCAGCTAGAAGGAAAAAAAAAACATCAAATTTTAGTAGGAGATGATCCCAGTTTAGAGCATCCCTGCATACACATCAAACAAACAAAGCCATTGGCACCTAAAAGCATATGGCTAGTACTTAGGTCCCGTTCTTTTCTCCAACAAGAGTTGGTTGAAGATTAAGATTTTCGTGGCACGCTTTTCAAACTGCTAAAATTGTGTGTTTCTTATATTAATCTATTTTTTAAGTTTGTAATAATTAAAACTCAATCAATCATACGTTAATACCACATCGTTTTACGTAAAAAAAACACTTAACCTTCATCAGAAGAAAAAAAACACTAAAATTGGTTTAAAAAAATCAAATCTCTCTGCACCGCCGCCCCCCACCCCGCCACACACACACACAATGCCGTGGAACTAAACACCGCAATAGACGTCATCACGTGGGATTGGGGGCAACCCGGTAGCCCGAACCGCGTATCGTCGCCGCCATGACGCCATCGATCGGCTGCGACCTCGGCGACGCCAACCGCATCTTCTCGTCAACTCCACGACTTCCACGCCACCCCACACGGCACGGCTGCTGGCTCGATCGGCACATGCCCGCCCAACATGTGCAAGGGCCTGATGACTAATTTGGCTTTATGGGATTTCAACCTTGGCTGTGTCTAGATTTCTATTTTTTTTCTTTAAACTTAAAACTTTTCTGTCACATCAAATGTTTGGATACATGCATGGAGCATTAAATATAGACGAAAAAAAATCAATTGTACAGTTTGCATTGAAATTGCGAGACGAATCTTTTAAACTTAATTGCGCCATGATTAGCCATAAGTGCTACAGTAACCACATTTGCTAATGATGGATTAATTAGCCTTAAAAGATTCGTCTCGCGGTTTACAGTCGAAATCTGTAATTTGTTTTTTGTTTTGTTATTAGTCTACGTTTAATAATTCAAATGTGTCTGTATACGTCAAAAAAATTTTGGCACCGAACTAAACACGCCCCTTGCTAATAAGTTTGCAATGGTAAAGGCTCGGTGTGTCTTATTATTTGCTATATAGGGTGTGTTTAGTTTACGCTAACATTAGAAGTTTGGTTGAAATTGAAACGATGTGACGGAAAAGTTAGAAGTTTGTGTGTGTAGGAAAGTTTTGATGTGATGAAAAAGTTGGAAGTTTGAAAAAAAAGTTTACAACTAAACTCGGCCATAATACCCGAATACATTCGTTAAGATATTTTTCCCCCACTTAACCTCTGGGCAGTTCATGTTTCGTTTACACTGCGTGATGGTTCAAATTTTAGCAACTCAAAATATGATCACAATTTTTGTATGCAATTCTCAACAAATACACCAACTATAAACTTTACATTTGGCGTGAGTAGTAAGATCTCTTATTGCATAAAGAATGGAATTACAAAGTTACCCATCTTCTCTTTTCTCTCAAGCTCTTCCTTTTCAGCAATCTGTTTTAGCGTAGTCCACCCCTTTCTTGCCCGCTTCCTTGAACTACCAGACATCTGAGCAGAACCAATTGCTACAGGTTTATTTTTCATACTATCGTTTGGAGCTGACTTGGTAGGCATTGTAGGGGCCTTGCCAGTAACTGAACTTGGCATCTCCGCTTTCTTGTTCTGAATGCTTCTTGTCTTGAGCAGTTCTGCAGAATCCTTATGGTCCGTCACATCCACCACTTTGTTCTTTCGAGGAGTAACAAAACTTGATCCAACTGAAAATTCTGCTTTCGAAGGAACATCGGGTTGGCATATTGCAATTTTGTTAGCAGAAACAGGCTCAGTTTCATGCGTACTTTTTTCATTTGTGATTGTTACTACTATTTTCTGTGAGACATTTTCCTCATCAGTAGCTGATGCTGACTGATTCAGTTCCACCGATGAAGACGCTACCTCCTTCTCCATAGATTCGTCAAGAAAATTGGGTACTGGGCTCTCCTCATACTCGTTCTTTACAAGATTTCGTTGTTTCAACCCAGATGTTGACTCTAGTTGTGAGACTGCTCCTTGAGAATATTCCAAGCCCTCTTTTATAGTTACTAATCTCTTGTTATTTATGTCCCCTTTCAACTTAATGCTGGTAACATCCATGCCAACTGGCTTTCTTAATGATAACAAGCCCTTCATAATATTCTTTCCGCTGCCCCTTATTAGGTTTTGGTCTCCACAGAAATGGCACAGGTAGGAAATGCTGTTCTGGCAAGTGTTTAACTTCTTGCGTCGCTTTGCTTTTCTTTTGTTGTTCTTTATGCGGATGGTGCAGTTGAAGCCTGGCTGTAAGACTGTTTCACACCTGCAAAGTTTAGAGAATGTTTCTTCAGAAGTCCTATAGAGATATTGGTCTAATCTAAAGTAGTAATGCTTATGATCCAGACAAATGGGTACGCACAGTAGAAAAAAAAATAGCATAACTAGGAAACTGAACTACCAAGTACACTCTGTTTCACATTATAAGATGTTTTGGGTTTTGAATAGATTCATACATGGGTCCATGTATGCGCTTCATATATTCCAAATTCATAAGGATGTTAGTGAATCTAGATGAAGGATGGAGAGGCCAAAACATCTTATAGTGTGGAACTGAGGGAGTACATAGTATGTTTCACCGCCTACAATCAACGACTCGAGCCTGGCAGACTGGTGGATGACGGCGAGAATGCATTTTCAGACAGGCTACAGGAACATTTTTGACACTGTCTTCGCACTAATTTGCTGGTTCCTGTGGAAGGAGCGCAATGCGCGTGTGTTCGAGCAGAAGTTTCGAAGCACAGAACAATTAGTGTGTGAAATCAAAGAGGAAATCCTTGTTTGGAAGACAGCAGGAGTATTCGCAACTTGTAATGGCGATAGTGAATAATTTGTAAGACCCGTAGCATGCAACTTTAGCTTACTAGGTTGGGGATTTTCCTCATCCATCTCGACAGCATACTGTCGTTGTAAGCTTCAAATGTAACGAACTACAAGATTTTCAAAAAAAAAAAAAAAAAAACAATCATTTGTTTGAACTTAGTGGACAAGGTTACAGGGTATGATGCTCTCATGAACTAGCAGTTTTTAAGCCGTGTGAAACAGTATTGCAACAACAGTGGTTGCCGACAGATAACAGAATAAATATAACTGAAAAAAAATACTACCTAGTGACTTAATCAGTTCAAGCCAATATGAACTGTTGCTTTGTGAATAGGAGATTTGCACAAATTTGGTTAGAACTTGAGTAATCAATCACAAAGAGAAAGTTTGAGAATGATATGCACAATGCAAAGCATGGATCCAACTAAATAAATCATATGAATAGGTTTCGATTTTACAATATACCTGTAAAATAGGTTTCGATTATTTGCTATAAAGAACTTCAAGACTTGGTTATCTGTATCTCATAAAACTGATTCATGAAATGTATCGATCGAGTTCATTAAAGCTACATATCACTCTGTCATTCTCACTGATAGACAAATGTTGCACCAATAAAAAAAAGCAAGTGCAAAATTATATGAATAGCTGCACTAACACGACTAGATAGCATCAAAAGGCTGCCTGATACTTCTATGGTGCATAGGAAATTAGGAATATAGGATATAGTATCTAGCCGGGCAGGTCCTTAAACTGGCTAAAATGCTGCTTAGCATAAAACTACCGCAATTTCTTAGAGGTATGAGGGGGATTATGATACTAATAATATCTGCAATGGTTAAATTCAAGGGAAGGGGCAGATTTTGTTCCTTCAATATCATGCAACAATTTGAGAGACGATTAACCACAAATCAGTAGAAGAATTGAGTACTTTGCCCCACAACACACAGGCAAATTCTGAAGGACGCGAGCATCCGACCGAGGTGTAGTAAGAAGTAAGCAGTGACCCTGACCTCTGGCATAGGAAGGTGGAGGCGGCCAGAGGTATCCCGGCCGCCTCGGCGTTGGCGGCGAGGCGTCGCCCCAGCAGGGCGCCGAGGGGGCCCACCCTGGCCTCCCCGCCCGCCCACGCCGCCAGCCGCTGCAGGTGCTGGACCCTCAGCAGGGAGGCCGCGTCGGCGCGCGTCTTCCCGGAGCTCTCCTCGCGGAGCGACACGGCCTGGTTCCCGGCCCTGGGCGGCGCCGCCGGGGCATGGCCATGGCCACCGCGCTTCTTCCCCATGTAGCCGCCAAGCCGCAACCGCGAGGAAGACAACCGGAGGGCGGCGGCGCGGGAGGGAGTAGGCGGAGGCGGCGGCGGCGACGGCGAGTGGGTCTGGGTCGCTGTGGGCCGGTGCAAGGGCCAGTTGGGCCGCGCCGCCGGTTAATTTGTAGTAGTAGTTTCTTTCAGGAATAGTAAGTCTTTTTTTTTTTGGGGTCTCCCTCATCTCTTTGCCCTTGGTCAAATCACACCCCTTAACCGTAAAATCGGATATAACCCCTCCCCCAACTTCAAAAACCGGTGTAAATTGACTCCTTCGGTGTTTCTAAAAGTGGTTTTGTTCACGTGGCAAGTTGACTTGGTCCAAGTATGCTGACGTAGCGGCCTAGTCATCACAGGAATTAAAAATAGAAGTAGGTCCTGCATGTAAATGATAAGGATGCACTCGACTAACGCGACGACGGTTGCGGGAGGCCAACGCCGCGGCTAAGGGGTTGGCGGTGAGCAGCGACGAACGCACGAAGGCTGGTTCGGCCACATGTGACGACTAGGCAGTGGACTTCGGTCGCGGAGATGAAATCGGCGACAGGGTCGTGGGAAGGGACATGCTCTTGCTAGCATGAAGCTTAGTGGAGCTTCGCTGCTGTGCCCGGATTTCGAGAAGAACTTGTTGATGAGGCCATCGGAGAGGGCCAACCCTAGTGAAGTCATAGTATTCCTCGACATCTGACGAAGAAGAGCAGTGGGAAGCTGGTTTGAGGAGTAGGCGGAGATAGGCCTGCGAGGGGAAGGAAGCTAGGCAGCCATGCGCTGGCTCTGGCTCGCCTCGAGCTCACAGTGTTGGCAAAGGAGACGACATCATCGGTTGGTGGTCTCCGAGCAAGGCGAGGTGGCAGAGGAGAGGAGGGGCCGCCATCGCTTGTCTCCTCTGCATCACCGCCCATCACCGCCAGAGCTAGGCCCGAAGGTAGATCCAACTCAGCGGATTATCCCAACAATGATGGCCTTGGATATCGCAACGACGGTGGCGGGGACCTCGGGAGAGGCGACGAGCTTGGCCAACTGCGGGGGAGCTCGTCCGAGACGAAGCAGATGGAGTCGAAGATTTCGAAAGACACCAGGGTTGTTGCGTTGAGGAATGTCACGATGGCCTTGAGGAAGGTTGCGACCGCGCTGGTCAGCTGCACGAGGCGGCAGCACCGGGCCACCATAGTCGAGGGGTAGTAGATCTTGTATGCCCCAAACATCGCGCCCATCGCAAGGAGGATCCTACTGCTGGCAGTGGCGGGAGAAGGCCACAAGGCAATCCATGGTGGCGGCTCGCCGAAGCTAGGGTTAGATGCGGTGAGCGTACTGTGGCCGTCTCTCTTTTAGATCTATGCCACTATAAATATGCCATTTTAGATAAATGCCACTACTATTCGCAATATCAACTACTCCCTCCGGGTTGATAATACTTGTCATTTTGGACAAGGGCACGGCCTTCAAAAAGTAACTTTGACAACTATTATCTATTATAAAACATATAGAAATTTCAACAAATCTATGATTTTATTGAAGTACTTTTTAAGACTAATCTACACATGTGGTTTTCATATTTTAAGATAAATATTTTAGAAATTATTTGTAGTCAAAGATTTTAAAGTTTGACTTTACCCTTGTCCAAAACGACTAATATTATCAGCCCGGAGGGAGTACTATTAACAACAGAATTTTGCATCAGATTCGGAGAAGAAAGAACAAGATCAAAGCGGATTTGGTGTGGAATCGAGTTGGATTTGGAGTCGGACTGCACATCGGCTGGACACTGTATTGGCTGCAAAACGGAGTCTAAGTTGGTCAAGCTGATAAGGCAAACGGCCGATGCAGCCAATATGGTATGACTTGGGCTCGGCATGGGCCTAAATTGGGTTTAACCGTCATTGCCAATTAGAGATAGAGCTCATTTAAGGAAATTACATCTATTAATTAGGTTATTTATGTCGGTTTTGTGAGGTTTGGTAAGAGACCATCGTATATGGTCTTGTTTGTATTTTATCTTTAGAAAGGTTTGAGTCGTGTCCATAATGGACTGGTTTTGTACTTAGGGTATAAATATGAACCCCAGGCCAATGTAAAAGGAGAGACAATCCAATACAACTTTGGCGCATCGCCACCCTTTTTGTTCTTCTTTTCGGCGAGTTCTCTCGACAAGAGGTAACCGTCTCGATGGCTTGTGCTATCAGGGCTATCATGTCGCTTTAGATATCTTAGTCCTTTTATCATGACCATCTGCTATCATATGTCTTAGTTAATCTAGTCTTAGTATCTCGATTTAGCTCTATCGGCTAGTTTTCGCTTTAGGGCTCTTGCCGGTATCGGCTAAATCGTCTTACTAGATAAGTTTAGCTAAGGCATCTACCATCCTGAAAAGTGATTGATTGCTTGATTGTTTAGACTCTAGGCTTCTTTTCCTACTTTGTGATGCATTATCCCTAGTCTTGTCTTGAATTCTAGAAATTAACCTAGAATCAATCATAATTTAGGATAGTGTCGATGGGGGATACCCGTAGACCGGATAAATAGGGTATTGGGGTACGATGGTACGAGGATCTACGTGATACGACTTCTAGCAAACAAGGAGACAAAGATTATACTGGTTCAAGCCCCTTATCAGATAATAGTCCTAATCCAGTTTATATGATATTGATATGGAAATCCACTATTTATATGATATTGATATGGAAATCCAAATTAGTTTCATTAAATCAATAATTGAATATATTTTCATAATAAATTTGTCTTGGGTTGAAAATGTTATTATTTTTTTCTACAAACTTAGTCAAACTTGAAGTAGGTTGACTTTGACCAAAGTCAAAATGTCTTATAACTTGAAACGGAGGGAGTAGTTTCTATAGCACCACAAAGTTGACAAAAAGCAGAACCTTACATAAGGGCTTTGGTCGAAAATTCGAGGAGGCCCGCGGTGAGCGTGACCCAGAGGTGGTGTCGAGGCTCCTCTCCCACCGCTGCCTTCCCCTCCCTCCCAGCTCGCCGGCCGCCTCTCTCTCCCCCCCTCTCCCTCCTAGGCATGTGAAGAAAAGAGAAGAAAGAAGAGGCTGATAGGTGGGGCTCATATTTTTTTATTTATTTTTATTGACTAGGATGCCACGTCAGCGGAACTAGATATCTCTATTGCTATGGAACCTAAATTGCACAGTTTTGTATAGTTTAGCGGTGAAGATTTCCGATATTGGGGTTTAGGGATGTCAAATGAACTCAAGATAGAGTTTAGGGACAGTAAATGACTTAAAGTTCTAAATATGGGCTGAAACATATATGTAATCTGAGTTTCTCATAGGCTGAGGGCCTGACCCAACCCAAGCAAGAACCATCCGACTCATCCGAGCTAGAGAGAGGATGAGCAGCATTTCCATTGTTGCATTGCCAATTTCTTTTTTTTTTCCTTTTTGTGATCTCATGGATTGCTGAACCACTCTGGCTCCTTGCTTATTCTAGCCAAAAAGAAAACGACACCACTGGTTGCATATGCCTCACCCGTGACATCACCAAACACACATATGGTAGACATGAACGATGACAGGCTGATAAAAAATTAACAGGGTAACACAAGACCCAGCCATGAACGATCGACGAACACATACACACCAGCCAGTGAGGCGAGCAAGCAGCTTGCGTGGCAACGAAAGCGACCAAACGTCACTTTTACCGATTGGTACGATTATGTGAAAGGCGGCATGGCCTATATCATCCATTGGCCACCAAACCCGGCCAAATCATCGAATCAATCAGGTCACGTACGTAGGTGAGGCAGATCGAGATAGGATGACGACCAGGCTACCCTAACTTAACTTAAATCAGAAAGACGTGTGTCACTAACGTGTGGGTTTTACATGTGAGTAATATTTGTCTCCCTATTTTAAGTTAGAAGTTAGAGGCATAGTTATTAGAAATAGATCGAACCGACAGTCCGACCGAAAAAAACTCTGAGCCCTTTACCGGTTTGGTTTGATTAGAAGATCGAATCTATTGTATATACGGTCTTTTAATTGAACCAAACTAATGAGGGCTCTGGTTTCGGTTTTTTTCTACTGGTCCGATCAGGTGGGAGGATATGCACAACAGTCAACAGCTCAAGCACAGCGAAAGCTAGCGAGCGCGTGGCAACCACAGGCCGGCAAGCACGACACGGCTAGGATTAAGCTGTTGATAGCGGCTAGGATTATGCATGGAGATATGCTCGAATATTGTCAGAAGGTTACAACGAGCAAGGGACAATATTGCCGTCGCGTTCGCGTGCCATCGTTCCGATCGGACTTTATCTCGCCACCCTTTCGTCACCCCGTCTCCTGTCTTGGGCGGCTTTTATGCTGCAGATCACGGAACTTATGCTGCGATGGCAGTACAGAAATCGAATTCCCTCCTTGCAAAAAAAAAAAAAGAAAAAAAGAAAAAAAAGAAATCGAAACTTCTACGATTACAGGCAATTTGTATTTACGGGCTGCTATGCAATAACAGACCATATACCATAATTGAATATGAATCTCTTCTTAATTTCTAGCTAATCAAATCTTTAATACCGATTTCAGGGTTAGAACCCTAGCTCTTGATTGGGCCACGTGGCACCACGGTTAGAGCACCGGCCGAATTCTCGGATGGAGAAGGGCGCCACGTATCCCACCTCTCCATCAGCCGCACGATAGTATATCAACGGTGTAAAATACGTCCAGTGGACCTAAATGTATATTGCAAGTTTTAAGAGGGGTTTTTTAAAAACTTCGTCATCTAGAACAGCCAGGAAGCAGATGAAAAAAATCCTATAGGGAAAAAAAAAGAATCTAATAAAAAAAATCAACGAGCAGTTAGCCCCGTCCCTTGCCTAATTCCATAGTTTTGTCACTACGCATAGCCATTTGATTAAAAATTCAGTAAAAAAATCTTCCCACATTGCAATCTTTGAGTGTTTGTTCCAATTGAAGATAAATCTGGAATTAATGCATAGCGAAAAATCCGAAAATGTGGTGCGGATTGTAAAGAAAAAAAGGATAAAAATAAAAAAGTCAATCTTGCCTGCCCGCGAGCCGCCGCCATCTCCCCTCCCACAAATCGCCATCGTCAACCATCAACAGGCAAGGAGAGCCACCTCGATCCTAAAAGAAGCTTCTTTTAGGATGGGGAAGAGAAGGGCGATTGCAGTTGGCAACGCCACACGACAAATCTGGTCGGCCGACAACCACCGCGCACAACGCCATCTCCTCTCTTTTCTCCCCCTTCTTCTGCCGGATTCGTCCGTCACTCATCGTAAGACGGTGCTGACCCGTTGAGCCGTAAAATCCGAGGAAATCGACGCTGGACCACAAGCAGAACTTCCGTCGGCCACCACCCACGCTGAGCTTCGCTGCAGGAGGTGATACGTCATGAGGTGGAGAATATGAGAGAGAAATGAGCAGCTCAACATCTGCCCGCATGCCTGTGGGCAGTGGCGAGAAAAGAAACAAAGGGAGAAGAACGACAACGTCTTCTCTGTTCTCTCTGTCCGCCTGTGTATGCTTTCCGATGCAGGCTGCCTGAGGCCGTGATGACAGAAAAAAAAAAGAGAAATAGGAACAGCGGTGAAAAATGCATCAGGATTCAGGAGGACTGAGGGGAGCACACCTGTCCACTCGATGCACTGGTCACTGGGCAGAGGATAAGACTATACTCCTACAGTTGACGAGTATCAATAAGTAAATCAGTATCCTTCGTGTAGTTATGATTTTTCGCATCCAACTTTAATTGTCCGTCTATTTTTCTTAAAAAATAAAAACATAAGTCACAAATAAAGTACTATTCATGTTTTATCGTCTCATAACGCATGGTACTAAAAAAAATTACGCATGGCTTGTTTAGATTGGTACCATTTTAAAGCATACTATTTTGGGATAAAATATAAATATGTGGATGCATTTTGTTATCAAATATTAGCGATGCATAGAGAATTTTGAACAACACATTTAGCCTATCGTACTAAAACTTAAAATTATTGTCAATTTATCAATTTTTTTACATTACAAAATTTTTGGAAGGTTCATTTGGGCACTAACCAAAACATGCCTTTAACTTGCCACATAGTATAAAACAATAAATAGTATGTATATTCAATGTATAAATATAGTTTATACAGGCTATATAGATGGTGCGCCAATGGTGCGCACACTTTCTTAAAACACAGTACATGTACACACTCATAATACGCACGCACTCATCTCTATGAACCCCAATAAATGCACACAAGCACACCCTAGTCCTATGAACACCTCCGAATGACTAGGCCGGCATATCTTGAGATTGACGATATCACCACGGACGCATCTCTGTTGACGGGTACATCGTCTACCACTGAAAGAATAATTAGCTAAACCCGAGTGGGCTGGTTCTACCATAAAAAACTTACCCAGTTGAGTTACACATAAATTCACCTCCACCTCACCCATTAATTCAATGTGGCTCCTTGCAGGTTGTGCTAGGATGTTTTATAGTACTTGCTCTAAAAGGTTTGTTACGTACTCCCTCTACCGCAGAATAACATCATTTTTTGGCCAATCAATCCAAGGTATACACATTTAATTGGAATTTAGAAAAAAAAAGGAATTGATAAGGACAATAGTGGTATTTCTCCCCACTACTAATTTGTAGGAGAATCGTTAGAAATAAATTTGTTTGGGGGCGGAATAAATAGAACAATATTTTTTTAAGTTGGTGAGAAAAGTTGTGTCATTATAAGATCTATAAAATTGATTGAAGTTAGGCATAGGCATTAAGAGACTATGTGATTAAGTGGACAAATTAAATGAGATATTATGATTGGTTGAGATAAGATAGTCGTTAATCAATTGCTATATTTTGCTATATTATAAGACAAATTTTGAATAAAAACTGTTATATTTGGAATGGAGGGAGAATTTTATTTTATTAATGATCTTTTTTACGTAAAAAAAACACTACGGTCGTTATTTAAAAATGTCCATTTGCAAAACCTATTTATAAATGGACCATGGTTTATTTAGCGGAAGATGAGGCTCAATAATTTATGCTTTAAAAATAAGTATATTTCAAACGATGTTACAATTACATAAAAACTCTTTTTAATAAATCCAACATAAATAGATGAAAATATGATAATTTTTAATTAAATAACTCCACATGTTGAATTAAGAATGTAAGGAAATTGACCTAATCCTACTAAAAATCTTTCGAAATTTCTAAATTGATGTATGTATAAGGATGGGTTAAAAAGGGCGTGCCAAATGGCTCGCCGATTTTCTAGTCAAATCATCTCAAGCTGGCTGGTTACCGACCAACTATTAGTCCACGTGGCAGGGATAACTTGTTAGATAAATATGAGATTATCATCAAGGAAAAAATTGTAAAAGTAAAAAAAACAAAAGTCATCCAGATTCTAGAGTCTTCCGAACCATCCTCCCCCTTCAAGTAAACTATCTGCCCCATTCAATCAAACCAAATACAATATCCATTTCTACAGATAAACGCATAGAGATTTTTCGGCTAGCTTCACAAGGTGGTGGGCTAGAAGATCTAGGTTCAAAACCTCACCCTTCTAATTATTTAAAATTAGATCATTCTCTAATATTTGCATATTTTTATATCTATTTCTATATATGTCTTCTCCGATCAATCAAATTGAACAGAAAAGTTTAGGGAAAATTGAAGAGAAACAAAAGTGAAGGTGAAGAAAATGTAAAAACTAATGGAGAAAACTTCCACCAATAAGCTAGAGGTGAACTGCCGATGTAGCTAAGATGATAATTTCTAAATAAACTAAAAAAGCATGTACGTAAAGTTTCGGGAAAATTGAAGAGAAATAAAAGTCAAGGTAAAGAGTAAAAACTAAAGGAGAAAACTTCCACCAACAAGCTAGAGGTGAGCTGCCAATGTAGCTAAGATGATAATTTCTAAATAAACTAAAGAAGCATGTACTAGGCTCTACCTACGAATCTTTATTGATGGATTGTGGAGATTATGGTTATCCCATATCTATATGGCGGTTATATTCCAGCTGGATATACGGTACCAAATACAGATAAAATATCTTTATGAGGACTCGGGTTAGGTTCTAAACTTGTGTGTCTAGAAAGTACCCGGGATTCTAGCCGGTTACGATTGTATTTTATCTGTAATCCCATATTCCGTTAGGATATGGACTGTACCTTGTATTACGGATCCCTTCCCTTATATAAGGAGGGTCCGTGTGCCTCTTGGGGCACGATTCTTTTTTCTCCCAATCATACAATCAATAACACACTCGGCGGAATCATCCCCGGACAGGAGTAGGGTATTACTTCTTGAATAAGAAGGCCTGAACCTGTATAAAATTTCTTGTCTCCAAACCCATCCACTTTCTTAGCTTGATAGCCACCCCCTTTTATTATTGTCGAAATCTTGTTTCGACAGTTGGCGCGCCAGGTAGGGACGGCGTCAAGTTCTCACCGACTAAGTGCGATGGGTTCCATTTCTGGCATCGACGACTTCGCCTTCTCCCTCGGGCAGGCGTTCCGGTTCGGCAGCCTCAACTTCATCACCAACGACTTCGGCAAGATCTCTCTTCTTTACTCGGATTCAAACCAGTCGGGGAGAAACCAGGTCCCCGTGCCGTTCGGTATTCCGAACTCAGCCGAGGCCTACTCCAAGATCATCTCTCCTGAGTCGGCTTCAAACCACTCGGATGAGATCCAATCTACTCTTCCACGATCAGATCAAGACGATGGGTCCTATCCCTCAATCTTGATGAAACTTCCTGATGACTTGGCCGCCGTCTTCACAGCCAAAACATCTCCCACTCGGAGATCTAGGCGAGCTCCGGCATCGGCCCCGATCCAGTCTAGATCCAGGGAGGTTGGCGTTATACTCCAGCCTCTTGGGACAGTCTCGACGGAAGAGTTGGATGGCTACCTCAGCTCCCCCGACGTCAGTTCTCGACCAACCGAGATCCTCGACTACGACGACTTCGACAACTTCGACGACAGCTATGAGGATAACTACACGCCTCTCTTCTTCGGCGTATTCATGGCTGACAACGAAACGGAAGAACAGCGCCGAGCCCGAGAAGCGGACCAAGATCGCGTACGACAGAAGCTGAACGTCGCCGACTAGAGGAAGAGCGACAGCGACAGGAGCGAGAACGACTACAGCGTGAGCAACAAGATCGCGAACGGGTTGCAAAGGAGGCTGAGGATCGACGACAACGCGCCTTGGAATCCGGGCGATGAGCGAGAGAACTCATTGGGCAACAAGACGTCGATGGAACAGCGGTCTTTCGCACCCCCCAGCAGAACGCGGTTGCAGCAATCACTCTCCTCGACACCCTCCTCAAGGAAGACGCACTCAACCTAGCCGTTCATGTTGTCAACATCTTGAACCAGACGAAGACCATGATCGCTGCCTCGGTTCCAGCCAACTCCGCAGGCACCCGCACCCCGACTGGTAGCCGAGTCCCTCATCATCAGCCAAGCCTCAGCGTCACCGGCACAGGATCTAGTCGCAGGAGCAGGGGTCACGAAGAACGATCTGTTCACTCGCTTCCCGAACGTCACAGGGAGCGCCGAGCTGAACGGCCTCGTTCTCCACCTCGCCAGCGTCCCGTCGACCTTCGCGACACGATCAACCAGCGCCGTGCAGCACGACGTCACCGCCATTCACCAAATCGCTACGACGACGACGTGGATGGAGTAGCTGCCTTCACTAATGACCTGCGTCGAGTGGATTGGCCAGTCGGCTTTAAGCCGACTAGGATCGAGAAGTATGATGGCACCACCAATCCAGAGTCTTGGCTCACCGTCTACGGACTCGCAATCCGCGCAGCAGGAGGAGACAGCAAGGCCATGGCAAACTATCTACCTGTGGCCCTAGCGGACTCCGCCCGATCCTGGCTCCACGGACTACCCCGTGGCACGATCTGATCATGGGTGGAACTTCGTGATCACTTCATCGCCAACTTCCAGGGCACCTTTGAACGCCCCGGCACACAGTTTGACCTCTACAACGTTGTTCAGAAGTCTAGAGAATCCCTTCGAGATTACATCCGACGCTTCTCCGAACAACGCAACAAGATCTCCGACATCACCAACGACGTCATCATCGCCGCCTTCACTAAAGGCATTCGCCACGAGGACCTAGTCGGCATGTTCAGACGTAAACCTCCCAGGACGGTTAAGCAGATGTTCGAAAAAGCCAACGAGTATGCCAAAACCGAAGATGCTATCACCACGTCCAAACAGTCGGGCACCACTTGGAAGCCAAAGAAGGACACGCCGACTGCAGGGGAGAGCGGAAGTAACAACCACAAGGATCGCAAGCGTAAGCCCGAAGAACTTGTGGCGACCACCTCTCCATCTTCCCGACAACGTCCCCGCGTCAACACCTTCGACAAGATAATGAACTCCCAATGTCCGCATCATCCCAACTCCAACCACGTGGCCAAAGATTGCTTCGTCTACAAACAGTTCGCGGAGCAATACGTCAAGAACGCACGCAAACCTGCAGACGGAGATCAGGGCACATCAAAGAAGAAAGATGATGAAGACGATGCCCCGACTGGTTTTCAAGATCATCGCAAAGAACTTAATCACATTTTCGGCGGACCCCTGGCTTATGAGTCCAAGAGAAAACAGAAGCTAACAGAACGGGAGATCAATGCGGTTCAGCCTAACATGCCCCAATATCTTCGGTGGTCAGAGACAGCAATTAAGTTCGACCGCTCGGATCATCCCGACCGAGTGGTCCACCCGGGGCGGTACCCCCTAGTACTAGACCCAGTGGTTCGCAATGTCAAGCTCCGACGGACTCTCATCGATGGTGGCAGCGCACTCAACATCCTTTTCGCTAAGACCCTGGACGATATGCAGATTCCTCGCATGGAATTAAAGCCGAGTAATGCACCCTTCCACGGTGTTATTCCAGGATTGTCAGCTACAC